GACACAAAGACACTGAGACCGTGAGACTCTGAGACACAAAGACACTGAGACCGTGAGACTCTGAGACACAAAGACACTGAGACCGTGAGACTCTGAGACACTGAGACACAAAGACACTGAGACCGTGAGACTCTGAGACACAGACTCTGAGACACAAAGACTCTGAGACCGTGAGACACTGAGACTCTGAGACTCTGAGACTCTGAGACACAAAGACTCTGAGACACTGAGACTCTGAGACCGTGAGACTCTGAGACCGTGAGACTCTGAGACACAAAGACTCTGAGACACAAAGACTCTGAGACTCTGAGACCGTGAGACAGTGAGACTCTGAGACCGTGAGACAGTGAGACACAGACTCTGAGACACTGAGTCAGTGAGACTCTGAGACTCTGAGAGAGACACCGAGACTCTGAGACACCGAGACTCTAAGACTCTGAGACTCCGAGACTCTAAGACTCTGAGACACTGAGACACTCGTCCTTCTTTTCTGTCAATAAAATCTGTGTTTTTTACTCCTCAGTGTCGGTGTTTATATTCAGGCTCATTGTTGTAACGATCAATTGATCAATCAGTCAATTAATCAATCAATCAGTCAATTAATCACCTCAACATTCAGATTCACACGTTTTTCTGCAAGTTTTGTTTTATTTCAACAGTTCATGAAAACGTTCAGCTCCTTCAACACATTTCAGCTCTGATTTCAGATATTTAGATTTTTCTGTTTTTTTCTCATTAAAAATGAGTGAAACAGTTTTAACATGATTCATAATCATAAAACTTTACTGAACTTTTTACCTTTTCTATTTAACTTCTGCTCATTTCAGCTTCTATTTAGTTGAGTTTAGCTTTTTGATCATTCTAGCTAAATAAATTTTTTAAATCATTTTAGATTCTTCCTGTTTGATTCAGCAAACAAGCTCGTTCTGTTTGTGTTAATTTAAGCTGTTTCAGCTACATTTTAAGCTACTTTAGGCCAGATTCAGCTTTTTTTAGCTGTTTCAAAACAAGCTGCAGGAACTTCTTTTCTTGTTTTTTATTTTTTTGCTCATTTGAACATTTTCATTTCTCATCTGTTTATTTTAATGTTTCATCTACTTTTAACTCATTTTTACTCATTTTAGCTGCTTTTTTTACCCTTTTTTCTGTTTGAACTGATTGTTGATGTTGGACCTGGGTTAGGTTGGACTTGGGTTGAGTTAGACCTGGGTTAGATTAGACTTGGGTTGGGTTAGACCTGGGTTGGGTTAGACCTGGGTTGGGTTGGACCTGGGTTGGGTTGGACCATGGTGGGACCTTGTTGGACCCAGTAAGACCATGACTCATCTTCAATCGTCCATCCTGTCAGCTCCGTGTTGACCCATCAGGGTCCGGGTCCTGCAGAACCTGGGGCAGGACTCCTTCAGACCACCTCTCCATCCTCATGGTGTTCTGGTTGAACAGGGTCCTCTCGTAGTCCATCAGCTGCCTCCAGAACCCGGCGTTGGGTCGGATGAACGGCCGGCACTGCAGGACCTGTTCATAAGCCTGACGCAGACTGAGACCTTTGCACCTGTGAAGACAAAGACCAGAACCAGGGACACTTGGTTTGGGTCTCCTGGAACTAGAACTGGACCTGAGGTCTTACCTCATCAGGTAGGCCATGACCAGAGCGGGTGAGCGGCTCCGGCCGGCGCTGCAGTGGACCAGCGTGGTTCCAGTTTGGTTTTGCTGGATTTGCTGTGCCACCGGGTCGAAGTAGAGACTGAGAGGGGCGTGGGGCTGGTCCTGGACGGGGACATGGAGGACCTGCAGGTCTTCCTTGRGTGGGTAGAGGACCCCCTGCAGTCCACTGGCGTTGACGATGAGCGTGACGTTCCTGCTGGTCAAGACCGCCAGGTTCAGAGCCGAGTCCAGGTCAGTCAGGAACAGAGACTCTGAGACCTGAGAGACCCGCATGGTGTCCTTCAGAACCCTGAGAACTTCCACAGCAGAAAAGAAACAAAAACATTTAGGAAATAAAACTTCAGTGTTTTCACTTTATTTGTACAACATTTTCAAAAACACCTCATAAACTTAAAGTGTTAATATTTATTTTGTTTACACTGATGCTGCTAATGAAATTACAAACAAAAAATGTTTATGTCAGAAGTGGGATTCGAACCCACGCCTCCAGGGGAGACTGCGACCTGAACGCAGCGCCTTAGACCGCTCGGCCATCCTGACACTAYACACATATCCCTCCGCGCAGTGCACATGTAGTTACTTCCGGACATGCGTYATTTTTATGTTTGTACAGCCACTAAAATACATTTATGCGTTTTAAATGTGTTATTATCTGTTTATAACACATCTAAAAGATAAAATACATAAAAATATATCTGAAAAATAAAGCTAAACTAAATGTACTTTGAATAAATTATACCATAAACCAGTAATGTTGGTTACTAAACAACAACAACAACAACAACAACAACAACAACAACAACAACAACAACAACAACAACAACAACAACAACAACAACAACAACAACAGTGTTAATCTGGAACATGTCCGGGACGTGTTGTGTTTCTGTTAAAACACAACACGCCTCGATGAGTCAGCATCCCTTTAAAACCCAGTTTCACTTCTCTGTTCCGACCCACAGAAACGGGCTCTAAAGGTTCCCAGTTCGGGTAGGTTCTGCTCGCACCCTCCTGTAAACTCACCTGGCAGGTAGGTAAATCACCTCCAACTGATTCAAACTGAAACATCCGTCTGGAAACTTTAAACTCGAGCGGGGTTTTCCTTCAGTGGCTCAGGGCCAAACTTCATGTAACTTTTAAGCATTTCTGTGGTTCGGTTCTGTTATCTGTTRTTCTGTTGTTTGATAAAACTCGGACTTGATTTAATCAGACAAATGAGCATTTCGGGTTTATTCGGCTTTAGTTTGGCTTTTGTAAATCCTCCGGAATGGGTTTTAAAATCTCAGAAACAGATTATAACATAAAAGCTTCAGTGTTGATTAAAGCCGAATGAACGAGCAGCTCTTAGCAAACTTTAAGAAGTCACTTTAAACTCGTGAGCACAGACGCGTTTATGAAAACATCATAAAAAGAAGGATTCTGCTGAGGAGTCTGGTGGTTATCCAGTTTAATCCGATCAGAAGCCACAGGGTCCGCTTCTTTTTGATTCGCCGGCGTTAGACTCAACTGGAAGCGGCGCGAGAGGAGTTTATATCTAAGACAAATGATAATAAATGCTCTGTTATTGATTATTCTTGAATCTCACGATCAGTTCTTGATTTGTAATTATTTACAGTTTTAATTTATGACCTTTGACCTCTGAACTGGTTTTTGTTCTGGTTTCTGTTCAGACAAAACAAACATGCAGAAACAGAACTCCTCCCCACAGACCGGTGCGACCCAGAAACCCATCATTCCTCAGGTCCGGTACCACTGGTCCATCCAGTCCTCAGGAGGTGGAGCTTCAGCCAAACCCAGCAGCCACAAACCCAGAACCGGTACCGCTCGCCCTCGTCAGAACAGAACCAAGTCTGACACGGTCCAGGAGAACAACAGGGCTGGTTCTGCTGTTAGACCAGAACCGGACAAAGATCCAAATTCTGCTGGAGATGGAGCACCTCCCAGACCGGAGCAGGTGCCGTTGGTTGTGAGCGCTCACCTGGACAGGTGTCTGGTGGAGCAGGTGGAGGTTCTGACTCGCGGGCAGAGGACCAACCCGGACTGGTTTACCTGGAGGAAGAACCGGATCACGGCCTCTGTGGCCCACCGGATCGCCCACTGCCGCTTCGTTAACGGCAAGAGCAAAACTCCGCCTCCTTCATACCTGGCTGCAGTCACAGGTAGGCCCCGCCTCCAAACACRTCTGTCCTGATCAAAGGCACCAGTTGACTCACCTGTCCGACTCCACAGGAGACGGTCCCAGAGTCCAGACCAGAGCCATGAGCTGGGGGGTCCAGATGGAATCTGAGGCAGTTCGTCGGTACCAGGTGGGTTCTACCAGATCCGAAACATCAACAATCACCTGAACCCAGTGCTGCATTCAGGGTCTGCTCTGTAAAGCTCTGTGTTACATTCAGGGTCTGCTCTGTAAATGATAACACTGAAATAATAATATCATATATGATATGTATCACAATGAAAATGATATCACTGATTATATCACTGGTGATATCACTGATGTTACTGATGATGTCACTGGTGATATCACTGATGTTACTGATGATGTCACTGATGATGTCACTGATGATGTGACTGGTTATCGGTCCCTCAGACCCTGAAGATGGCGGCGTTGGACCGGCCGGTCTCGGTCCAGGACTGCGGTCTGTTCATCGACGCCCGGCGGCCCTGGTTGGCTGCGAGTCCTGACGGGATCGTGACGGACAGCCGGACCGGCCAATGGCTGCTGTGCCTGGAGGTGAAGTGTCCCTACAAACACCGGAACAGACGGGTGGAGGACGCCTGCAGGGAGGACCCCACCTTCTGTCTGCAGCTCCAGGACAAAGACGAGCAGAACCACAGAGAAGTAAAATAAGTCGTCCGTCTGTCCCGTCTGTCCCGTCCTCTGCTCCCTGCTTCAGTGTGGTTTCTGTCTTCCTGTCCAGCCTCCAGTCTACCACCTGAAGACGTCTCACAGCTAYTTCACTCAGGTCCAGTGCCAGCTGGCGGTGACCGGTCTGAGGTGGGCTGACTTTGTCGTCTTCACCCTGCAGGAGGTAGCTGTGGTTCCGGTGACCTTTGACCCTGAGCTGTGGGACGAGACWGTGTCCAAACTGGAGGTGTTCTACAAAGACGCTATCCTGCCTCATGTCGAGACACAGCAGGACAGATCTGCCTTGAGACCAGAGCTGTAGATACTGTATATATGTCAAACTAAAAACCAGAACCGGTCCAGCCGGCAGTGGGTCCACAGGAGACACTTGTCTCTAACAGGAAGTCAGGCGATAATTTTACTTCTTACAGACTGAAGTAGAATCCAGGGGTCGGATTTATAAAACTGGCGTACGCACAATTTGAGCCCAGAAACTTGCGTACTCCACTTTTTACACCAAGGTTGCGATTTATAAAATCTAAACTTGAGGTGAAAATTTGCGGTGCCTCACAGCTCTGACC